AGTCATACTTCGTTCCAATACAAGTCTTAGAGTCATACTCCAAGATTGTAATTGAGTGACATGTCTTTAAAGAAGGTTTAAAACACTTGACAAATGTAAGAGTAAAAGTTTTCTACTCTTGTACATTTGAAATTGGTAAGTTGTGATGTTTTGGATAAAACAAAGACCAACTTAGGCCAATTGTGTGAAGTGTTTGTCTTGATTAGAATCCACACTATCTCTTGGATGTTTGACAAGGGAGTCTTATAGGTCAAGAGGACAGTGGGAGTCTTAAAGGTCTTGAAAGTCTCAAGAACTAATCAAGAATAAAACCTGAAGTTCTTCACTAGCACACGACTTGAGGTTTATAACCTATCGTGTTGACATATTCTGTGCCCATTCCAGTTAAAGTTGGCTTTGCATATGAGTTCTTAGAGTTCTCAATTGGTTGCACAACAACTTGGAAGCAATGGCAGGCCCTTGAGCTGCCAGGTGGCAAGAAATTAAGATTGAGTTCAGTCCATATGAGTTTGGATTTGTCATTATCCTTGTCTTGTGACTATGGTTTTGACAATTCACATGGATAAGAACACATACACCATTAAATCTAAGTGTCATAAGGTTTCTCTCCGATTCATGAAAATGATGGTGAGGAAACACTTTCACTAAGTAGATTTTAGCTAGATAGCAATTGTGATATTTGCATTCTCAAAGTCGTTAGTGGAGCGTGTGTGGTTTACCGGCACACTAACCTGGACTTGTGAGAAGTGGCAAAAAGGTCTAACCATTATGATTACGGCATCCCTCTTCATAATTGTTTAGACACACAAGTGTGCTATCTAAGGGAAGGTGTATGATTTTGATAAAGTTCTATCAAAACAATCAGTATCAGAAATCTGAACTTTGGTAAGAAAGTCAATAAAGTATTGATTTCTAGAAGTCCAGCTGATTTCTGAGTACATGTCAAAGCTAGTGGGAGCATAAGTGTTATGCTAATAATCATCATGTTAGTGGGAGCATGATAATTATGATAAGATTGCAAGTTAGCAATGTTAATTATAGAAAACAAAAGGTTTCAATTGGGAAAAGTTGTTTTGCTATAATTAAGGGAGAGGAAATTATACTTCATCTCAAATCTATAAGCTTAGATCGTGAGGTTTTAATCATTTAGTCAAGGATATATATGAATTTCATGTTGGAATGGCTCAACATAAGGAAATTCTGTATATGGGTCCATTATTTGCGTTCTAAAATTCGATTATGATTACGGCATCCCTTTTCATAATCTGAATTATGAGAACTTGGCAAATAGAAATGGAAATGTTATAGCAAAAGACTGGTTTAGTCTTTATGTGAGACATCATGAATCGTGTCCCATATGCTTCGGATATAGGATCGATTACATGTGCTATATTATCCTTTCTAAAATTTTCCAAATGCCTGGGGCATTAAGAAGGGAAAAGGTTTAGAACTGGATATGACTAAAAGGATTAAACAATTGTCGAGGACAATCTAAGGTTTACCAAAGATTGGTTGCTCAAGGACAGTTGGAAGTATAGTGATAATTCTGGAAGGACCATATTGACATAATCTGTAAGGAGGCAACTCTTGTTCAGAAGTGATAGTCAAAATGGAATCTGGAAATGTTTCAAAGTTAGAATTTTCAATCTGTGTAAGATTAAGGAAACTTAATGCAAGAAGGATGTTTCCAAGGAGTTGATCTCCTTTGGAATGCTCTGTAATGATTGTTGTCAAGTCTTTCTGACTTTGTGCATAATCATTACAAGAGGATCAATGCATATAAGTTTAGAATCTAACAGATTTCAGTAAATGGCATGAATTTGGAATTCTTGCATTTGCAGTAAGGATTTGGGAGTGTGAAAAGAGAATCATTGAAGTTATGTTCAATTGATCTAGTTCACAAAGTAAAGATCATAGACAAACATAGTATGCATACTTGGTGTATGGCATGACTAGTGTTTAGAAAACATAGTGTACATGCTTGGAGCATGGGACAACTATTGTTTTAAATTCAAGAATAAAGTTGATAGCTGAAACAGTATACAATGAATAATGTGTAATCATATGGTGATAAATAAAAGGTGTTTTATTTATATTCATAAGTTCTGAGACCATATTGGATTCAATTATTATTGTGTTTCACTTTGCATGTTTTGACTTCCCGAATAAACTAGGTTATTCTTCCGGAATGACTAAGTTATTCAAACCATCCACAGTCGGTCATATGTTGGAAGTAGATATGAATTAAGACTGTCATGGGTTGGCTTGTAGAGGTCTAAGTGTTGGACAAAGGCTACAACACTCATGAGTGCTCATAAGTTCTGAGTATTGGATTCAACCCGCGCTCATTGGAATCACTTCATGGATTTTATCACGAGTGATCATGAGACGATAATATCTTATATTCTTCAAACCTAGAGATATGAGTTGTTACTATGAGTTGGTTGTACATTGATTGCACGAAACGCATTGGTAACTCGATGTTATAAAACGTGTCTTTGTGTATGATTCAACAAGTAGTAGAACAAGCCATATGAGTCGAAGTTTATCCATTCCTTTTACCTTCGGGATAAAAGCGATATCTGTGGGCCCCTCGATGATTTGATGATGACAAATGGAAGTGCTCGGCCGGGCCAGGACTGATTTGATTTGTTCAATTAGTCAGTCGTCATAAATCGGAAATCGGGAAACAACAAATGGACAGAGAGAATGATTATAATCCATGTCTCAGTCCATATGATATCTAGAATGGAGGAATATATGATCCCTTATCTAATGGACAAGTCATTGACAAGATCAGAGTTCATCTACAAGGTCAGAGTTCGACAGAAGCTTTTGAGAGCTACGATTGCCAGTTGGTTCCTGAAGTCATACGCAATAATAGTTTTAGACTTATCCAAGTGGGAGACTGTTGGATTAATGTCTAAGTCCATAACTATAATTGGTAAGACTTGACCCGACCCGGCATGGTCCATTTGGGTTGCATACCATCATGCACTTGGATAGACTAAATGAGAGAAATAAGACACTTATGGTTATTAATATATTATAAGTTCTAGTATATTAATAATAAGAATAATGAGATTATTTAATTAGTATTGATCAAGAATTAATCTAGCATTAATTGAGTGATCAAAAGAAGACTAATTAAATATATGGGTTGATTGTGTAAATCATCCATACTTGTATAGTGGGCTAATGCTCCATGGATTATCTAGTTGGGCCAAAACCCATATGATGCTCCATGGATGCTCCATGGTGTATTTGAACCCATGGATCCAAGGAAATGGAAAGTCATGACAATTAGGGTTTACCCTAATTGTATAACTATATAAGCATCTTATTCTTGAGGAAAATCGGCCACTAGTGAGAGTAAGAAAGGGCTAGCCGATTTTCATGAAGTGTAGAATTCTCTCTAAGTTATTCTAAGTGTTTTGATGATTGTGAACCATTTGAGGTGTCACACTTGGGGCACTAGGCACTCAAGCTTCATGAAGACAAGCTCCATCAAAGAGGTATGTATTCTATCTTGTTATATTGATAGTTGTGTATGCTAGTTTAGGATAATACCTTGGATATTCATATTTGCATGTATAATAGAGAAAACATAGATCCAAGGTATTTAGGGTTGCATGTACACTTAGGAGTGTTAGAATGCTCATAACCCAACAGATTTTTAGTCTTTATTTTGACTTAAATGTTGATTATGTTACTTAAAATTAGGAAGAGTTCGGTATGGCAATCACTCGCACCAATGTGTCGAATGGTGTTTCTTGTGTAAGATATTGGATTTTATCCTCAGGGATGTGTATAAAAAGGAAGGGATATTGGTTCCCTCAGAAGATGACAAGCATAGTTTTCGACTTTGCAGGCTCCAAAATTGGCCATTGATGATCCAGTTCTTTTTCCTAGTCTGGTTTAAATGCCAGACACCATGTTAAGACGAATTGATCCTTCTAACCCAATTATGGTTCATTATTTGGCATCTACTAACACAAATGTCAAGGTTGGCATTCTTTTGCCAAATGATGTTGAGGGTTCGTCGAAAGCTGTTAAAGTACCATAGAAAAAGAAGAAAACTCAACAACCAAAACCTATTCAAGCGCATGTGGAGGGGAAAGTTTTTAAGTACGTCATTCCTTCCAAGACATGCATTCTCAAACACACAAAGAAGCAAGCTAAAAGACCTCAATATTATCCTGTTAGGCCATCTGTTCCAGAGGTTGAAGTTGAAACCCCTAAAAATCCCAACAAACTCATTCTTCTTTAAAGGGGATAAAGAAAATTCATAAGCCTCAAATTAATAGACGAGGTGTGCTCTTTCGCAAAATTCCTCCTCCTGTTTCATATGCCTCAAAGAAACGTCAAGCACAACAGATGGCTAAAATGATTATAAAGAAGAAGAAACAATTTGAAGACCCACTTGATAAAGTCATTGTCGAATAAGATCATGGTAGTGATAGCGAAAGGTCTGATATTCACGTTGCTGATTCTGGATTTGGGTCACCTCAAAGGGATTCTCTAGTTAAGTTGATTTTTTAGGAGACTGGAAGTCCCAATGCTAATGTACACGTGTCTAATACGAATACAATCACCAATTTGAGTTATCCTCCATCTACTTCCATCCCTGAGGTTTCATTAATTGAGTCCAATACAGAGGAGGTTCGAACCTCAGGCGTCACTGTGCACATATCTAATATGGACACAAATTTTACGATGGGTGAAGGGATGGTTAACAACGAAGCCTTTGGTACTTCCTACTATGTAACCTCTACTATTTCCACATCACCCATTCTTTCATTTACCATCAAAACCACAATTCTTGATACTTCAACTTCGTTACCACCATTCTCTTCTCCTATCCCATCTTCACTTCCCGTTTCCACAATCTCACCAACATACTCCTCAACAATGCATGAACCAATAACTACTCTTTTCTCTTTGCAATCCACAGAAGAGAAAGGATAGTTCAAGATGATGAACCAAATAAAGATGAAATCATGGTTTCTTTTGCAACCTTAGAATTTGATCCTAAGGAAGATAGTGTTCCTGACAACATGCTAATGGCAGGTAAACACTCCAAGATCCTCAACATCAAACTAAATTCTCTATTACATATACAAGCAGACACTGGGGGTCAAAATTTTGTGTTTTTGGTCATAATGGAGTATCTATTAAACTCATAAGAAAGTCGTCTTAGGAGTGTGGTGGAAAATGTTAAGAAAGAACAGGTTGAAAGAATGAAAGCTCATGCTGATAATTTTGAGAATAAGATTAAAAAGCTTCATGAGGTTGAGAAAGAGTGTCATGCACTTTTCGTTGAGCAAGTGAAGACTATGAATGAGTCTCTTGATCTCAAGGTGACTGAACTCAAAACAGAGATGGCTAAAGAGGCTGAAAAGATTGGGAAAAGTTACTCTATTCTTTATGGGAAAGTGGATGTTGTTGTTAATGCAATTGCAAAGTTGGTTGCGTACAATACAGGTTATTCAACTAAGCGTGATGTGAAGACAGAAACGGATTCCAAAGTTTTTGCAAAGTTGAGGGAATTTTCAAGCAGCATCAAGGAATCCATTTCGAAAGTTGGTCTTTTAAACCAATATTCTGTTATCGATGAAACAATTACTCAGATGATATTCTCTATTGAAGCTAATCTAAAAAAGGAACTTGCTCCTATCTTTGAGTTGGTCCTTCCATTACCAACTAATGTTCTACCTGCAAAGCAAGTGTCACAAGGGGGAGAAAAAGGACAGGGAGGGGTTGGATCTTCAAAAGATGCTAATAAGGGAGTAGTTGTTGGGAAAGTGATGTCTGCTCAAATACCCATTTTACTTCCAGTTTCATTGAAAACAACTTCGACAACTACCACAACAAGACCAATAACAAAAGGGATTGTCATTAGTGAAAGTTCTGGAGGCTTTGGGTCAAGCTCTAAGAAACCTCCTTCGAAAGACAACCATGAAGATAAAGGGAAAGGTGTTGAGGTAACTCTTACTAAAGAAGAAAAGAAGAATAAATTAGAGTTGGAGATCGAAAGACAAAGGCAGATCAATAGTATTTTGAGGCAAAGACAGAATGTTCCACCAGGCTTGAACAAGGGCAATCCCAACAAGCATTGGTGCTATGAAACTATTGAGCAAATTGTTTCAATAGGGAAGAGGGAGTATTTTCACACGGTCCCAAAGAAGAGTTATGATGTTGAAAACTCTAAATTAAATGTAACATCCGGATTTCTAGGTAATTGTTTATTCATTTATTTTGTAGATTTTGGAGGGACTCGGCGAGTTGATGCTTAGACTCGCCAAGTAGAGTCGCGAATTCCATCCGGGTTAATGGCCGGACTCAGCGAGTTCGAGCTGTTTAATGAAACCCTAATCCTCGGGGTTTGAGGCCTATTTAAAGGGGCTTATAGCCACCAATTGCGGCTACCAGACCCCTGAGTGAAACCCTAAGCGATCTAGAGCGTTTATGAGGAAGGAAAGGCCATTTTTGATCCTTGTGTGGCTGTTTTTGCAAGAAGAAGGTGACCAAGGAAAGAGGGAGCTGAAAAGGGCACTATTCTATGGATTTAAGAGCCAAAGAACTTCATATTGAGGTATATATTCGATCCTTCTTCCGTTTTGGGTGTTAATCCTTGAGGGTTAGGGTTTCTAGCCCATTTAGAGTGTGAATGATGGTGCAATTGGTCCCTTCTTGTGTTGGAGCTTCGGATCTGGATACAAAGAGGTCCAGAGACCTTAACTCCCTGATCTTTATGCGGTGACATTTGGCATTATGAGCTTAGGGTGACATATTGAGGCCATTTCTTCAAATAGAGCCATTGGATCTTTGCATGGGCATTAAGATCCAGACTTTACGTGTTTATATTGCTTAAGGATGCCAGATCTATGGGTTAGAGGAACGGATCTGACGTCAGGAGGTCAGTTGAGCTTGAGCATGGCATGAAGTCGCCGAGTCCCAAGAATAGACTCGACGAGTAGGGCTAGGGTTTCCCATAGTTCACTCAGTGAGTAGCTTGCCGAGTTGAGGGAGTGACTCAGTGAGTCAGAGGGAAGTAGAGGACTGGAGTTCAAGGCAGAACTCGTTGAGTTCATAATGGGACTCGGCGAGTTGAGTCGGGGTGGCCCCACGATTCATGCCAGGTTTAACCCGTCGAGCAAGGGAAAGACTCGACGTGTCATGCGAGACTAGAGGGATAGTGGACACGCGTAGACTCGCCGAGTCACCCAAGTACACTCAGCGAGTCGGGTCAAAGTTTGATCGTTGACTTTTGTTGACTTTGGGGTTTGGTCAACATAGGAAATAAAGGACACGGAGGTGTAAAATGGTCTTTTACCCACTATCTGATTAGAGAGGGAAAGAGTAATTGCCAGTTTAATTAGAGTGGAGACTTCGAGTGTTAATTAGAGCTATTGGCCTTATGTGTTAGGCAGTGGAGAGTTCGAGATTCAAGTGAGAGGATATATGCTTTCTTCTTGCCAAGTGAGTCTTCTCACTATACTTTACCTAGAGTGGTAACAGAGTTATGTGACAGAGTTATTGTATGCTATCTATGCGATGTGTGGCACTGCATTATTTCTATGTCATTTATGTTGTGTGTATATCAGAGTTAGGACTCGAAGGTCCACAGAGCTAGGACCAGAATGTCCACAGAGTTAGGGTTAGAGTTATATGCTAGTGTATTTGTATGCTATTTATCTTATGTTATTTATTGTGATATGTGATATGCATGATTCAGAGTTAGGGTTAGAGTTAGGACCTTTGGGTCCAAAGAGTTAGGGCTAGAGGGTCTATAGAGAGTTGGGACTGGAGGGTCCTACTGAGACACACTGACCAGAGGGTTAACAGAGTTATAGCCTTGAGTGGCTAATATGTGTTAGAATGGTATTTTGGGGAAATCACTAAGCTTCATGCTTATAGTGTTTTGTGATATATGTTTCAAGTTTTCTTAGGATCATGGGACGGCACCGACTCGATTGTACACACCAGAAGAAGCGTTGGTTTTGAGGATCCTGGTCTATTAATTGGTTGAACAAAAGAGTCATGTATTTTAATATAAACAAAAAGGGAGATTTTTATGAAAAGTGTTAAAGAGATAAAAAATTTTAAACAAAAAATTTGTTTTAAAAATTTCGGTGTTACATGTTAGTATCAGTGCCATGGTTTGAGGGATTCGGATGCACTTTCAGGTAATCTGGACTCAAATTGAGGAATTAAGAAGAGTTTTCAAAGAAATGATTTTCTAAATGTGAATAAGATTTCAAGGAGAAAGCAAGAAAGAGCAGTGTGTACAATCAGCTAGAGCCCGAACGGTGATTTCCCAAAATACCCTTACTTTTGTATTATGAGATATTTGTGATACATTATATGAGATATTATGCATGCTAGAGATAGGCTAGGTATTTCATATCTTAGGACTAGAGTAGCCTGATTTGTGATGCCTTAGCCTAGGAGTTGCTGTTATATGTGATTTGCTTTTGAGAATGTGATGAGTGAGAGTATTCAGTCGGAATCCTTTTAGGGGATCTGAGTAGAGGAGTAGTCTAGGAGAAATGCCTAGATGAATATTGTGGTGCTTATCGAAAGAATAGTTAGAATCCGCGAGGGGTAGAGTTGCAAAGTTTGGTGGTACTTTTGAGAATGATCAGAGCAAGTGGAGTTATCACACAGAGTGAGTTCTATGTATTCTTCGATGCCCGAATGTTGATGGCTTCGTGCTTTGTGGAACTCTCGAAGATGGGAGTCAGCTACCAAGTGAATATGACGATATTCAGGAGGTAGATGGCTGGCATCATTAGGAGCTCTTCAGCGGTTGATGGCGGAGAAGTGGGAAGACCAATGAAGGGCCTGGGGGTAACCTTAGCCAGATGAGTACGCTGGCAGAGTAGAGCATTTCGCTGAGGAGCGAGCACGCGTGACAAAATTGGTGAATGAGAAGGTTGAGCAGCTACTTAGGAGCTCAGGGATGGTCCGTGTGGAAAGTATGGGTAGATGTGGCAGGTAGTATGGGCCCGTACTACCGAAAAGTAGAGGACCAATACTTGATACATGGAGTATTCTGAAGGTTCTAAGTAGCAAATTGATGAGTGATGTTATGGTTCGAGTACCATACATCGGAGCAGATTGAGGAGTGATGTATGGTTCGAGTACCATACATTGGGGTAGATTGCGGAGTGATGTTATGGTTCGAGTACTATACATCAGAGCAGATTGAGCAGTGATGTTATTGGTTCGTGTACCATGCATCGGAGCAAATTGAGGAGTGATGTTATGGTTCGAGTACCATGCATCGGAGTAGATTGAGGAGTGATGTTATAGTTCGAGTACCATATATTGTAGGAGATTGAGAAGGGGTTTTCATGGGCTGAGTACCATGGTTTTTAGCAAATGATGCTTGTGATTCTCCGGTTGTCCGGTCAGAATTGATTGGTGGAATTTGGATGCGATGGGGTTTTAGTCCTGAGGGTCATGACTGAGTCCGAAGAGGCATCCCTTGAAAGGGAGGTCGAGAGCATTTTAGAGTATTTTGGTAAGATGTCAGATGTAGTCGGAAGACTCAGGGATTAGTAAAGAAGGCATTTATGGGGGATTGCGGGTTGAGTGAGAAATCAGCCGATGGAGGAGATGTCACCTTCTGTAACCGATGGGTGCTATTTATATTTCCTATGGGAAGTAGGAGAGGCGTGAGATTTCAGTTTTGGGTTTTGGAGTAAACCCTATGGGTTGACATTGATGATGATTTTTCCACCAGAGTATCAAGCAGCATGCCTGCCGCGAGGAAATGATCTACGATGAGCAAGTAGTTAGTGGGGAATGAGATGGTCAAGGACCACATTACACCCTAATTAAGTATAGTAGGGTGTGTGGTAGCAGTATCAACAGGTAATCCATTTGAGTTTCTCAGAGCGGTGGCTCTTCTTTCTATGATGGGTATTGAGTATGGTAGTGGAGTCCCTACTCTCATGATGATTCACGTGTTGGAACGGGGGTTGAGACGTCGAGGATGAGGAGTATGATGATTTATTGTTTCAGTCTAAGAGTCAGTGATAGTACTGGATAGTTGGGATACTCAGTATTGGGATGGTATGAGACTTCGAATGGCTAGAGGCAATCGTGATGAGAAGTTCCCGAGGATTTCTTCGGAGATTTAGGGTATTTGAGGTTTCTTGATCTCTATGTGGGAAGATCATTGGGCGTTGTGTGTCACCTTCCAAGCATGGGTGCGGTGTTTGTGGAGGAAACCGTCTGTGGGGTAGAGTGTTGATACGTCAATTGGTAATGGTTCAAATCCTAAGTGGGGGAGAACCGGGTATTTTATTGAAGGAACCAGAGATCTGTGCATGAGCAGTTAGGGGTTGGATACAGAAACCCGCGACTCGAATTCGTGAGACTAGGATCATTGGTGATCAAGGAAAGGTGTAGAGCAAGATAATGCATGTGGTATGTGTCTGAGAAAGGATAGGTGTCTCCACAGAATGGGGTCAATGGTAAAGAATCTGGTGGTGGTCAGGGCCGTTTACGTGGAAGACTCGTAATGATAGTATGGGCAGTTGAGAACTTCTGGATAGAAGATTATCGAGCAGCCAACTCCCTAGCCGGTATGAGTATTCTTGCTTGGATTTTGAGCAGTAGGGGAAAGGGTTTCGGAGGAACATCAACGTGTTCTGAAGCGTTAGCGCTTTCCTTGTATTCCATTTTAGTGTTTAGATGCACTGACGTTGCGCATTGGATAAAATGAAGAATTATTTATGGGGTTAAGAGGAAATGTATTTTTGTATATGTATGGTACTGGGAGTAGGAGATCAGTGGTTGAGGCAGGACATTGTAATGTTCTGTAATGGTGTTCCGTGGTACCCAGTATAATGTCCCGATTTCAGAGTTATTTAGAATCTTGAGTTTGAGACGACTAGTGGTCTATCATGTATCTACGATTCCAGTGGGATCCCTTTGGGTATTGACATCAAGAGGGATTATTTAAGAAAGTGGATCTCCGTAGAGGTAGGTATTCTTCTGTGATGCATGTGGGACAAGTGTGAGTAGCTATCTATGATAGTCTATGGGGCATGAGTTAGTAGACGTAGTGTGGTGTTGTAATGAGAATGAGAGTATGGGGTGAAGCTACGGGGAGCCGTAGTATTCACTATTCAGTTGGTGTTGTACTACGGGGACCCATAGTACTCACAAGACAGAGAGAGGGAGTCGTGGTACTACGGGGAGCCATAGTACTCACTAGTCAGTTGTTGTTGTGGTGCTACGGGGAGCCGTAGTACTCACTAGTCAAAGGCTGTCGTGATGTTGCGGGGAGCCAT